AGCTACTTTGATGTCCTATTTACTTATTGCAGATAAAATAATGGAATTGGCACATTGAAGATCTTGGGTTATATGATTTTAGATTTTTTTTTAAATAAATTAGAACAAATATGTAGATTGGTTAAAACGTTAAGGTTTGTTTGAAATTTATGTCTTTTATGACAAATATATAAAATTATATTTTTTTAGTATTTTGATGTTATTTTTGGTTGGTGTTATTTATTTTATTGTAATATATATATATATATATATATATATATAGCTGAAATACGAACTATATATATGTATATATATAAATAATATCATATACCCTTTTAGAGAAGGTTTACAAAGAGTGTAACTAAAGCTTATACTTTTAGCAAACGTTCCGATCATTTGTATCTAAACATAACATTTAGAGAAGGTAAGGAAAATGTAACTAAATCATGCCTTTAGAGAAGCTTTGCAGATGACGTCACTAAAGCATATATCTTTAGAGAAGCTTTTTTAAAAACCTTCTCTAAAGGTAACTTTTAGTGACGCTTAAAAACTGTCATTGATGCTAAAAAACCGTCACTAATACATATTTTTAGGGAAGCTTTTCAAAAAAATTCGGCCAACCTTTAGATACGCTTTGAAAGTGTTTCCAAAGCCTAAAATAAGCTTCTCTAAATGTCAACATAAATGTACCCTTCAAAAACCCTCCCTAAAACCTTCTCCTACCGTTATATAGGGAAGGTTGCTAACGGAAGTAAAAAGCTTCTCTAAAGGTTTTAGAGAAGCTTTTCAAACTTTTAAATACAAAAGAAAAGCTTCTCTAAAGATCATTTTTCTTGTAGTGAGAGAGAGTGAATATGTAATTCTCATTTATCATAAGTCATTTAAATAGGGATGAGTTACATGTAGATAATCATGAGATATATCAAATATAATCTATCTCTAATATGTTTCTCTCTCTCTCTCTCTCTCTCTCTCTATATATATATATATATATATATATATTCATATCTTTTAGACGATGACACGTCTATATATATATGCATAATTGTTATAGTGATTAAGTTTAGTTCCTCGTATATAGTTTGTTTTGAACTTTAGATTTGTTTAAGTTTAATTTCAATCAAGTTTAGGTAGTCATTTGTTGGGCAAACGTTAGTATTGTTTAAGTTTAATTCCAAATTCTTATCTAGTTTGGGTTGCAATGTGTTGAGCAAACATTAGGATTGTTCAAGTTTAATTCTAAGTCTCTATCTAGTTTTATTGACATTAATTTCTGAGGCGAACATTATGATTATTCAAGTTAAAATCTCTATATATTTTTTTATCTAGTTTAGGTTGCCATTTGTTGGGCAAATGTTGAGATTGTTTTAGTTGGAAACGTTTGATTTACAGTTGTTTTTTGTTGAAATTCAGTTGCATTATTTTTTTAATCCACATGGTGACTATCAAAGGAATCTTTGCCAAAAGTATGACGAAAGTCCAGTGTCTATCCCATAATTGATACTGATCTATCACAACAGGCGGTTGGCGGGAGAATGAGAGGCTGGTTATTCGACTTTAGGTATAATCAAAATCCCAACTAGGTCTTGACTGGGTCAAGTGGCAATGTGTATGGAAACCCGAGTGTTGACTCGTATTCGACGCTCAGGTGTGTACCTCTTTTACTTTGGTTATCAATTTCATTTACAATTCTTATTAAAGATTCTAATGTTTACGTTTCCTTGTATTTGTAGATTCTATAATTACAAAGCCATGTTGAAGATTTGAGGATGCATGACGAGATCAGGAACAAGCAGCATGAAGTGATGAAGAAGCTAGCTGATAAGTGTGCAAAAACATACACTTTAGCACCTAATTATAACTTTATTTTACTTCATTTTACACCTTTTCAAATCCTATATTGAGTCTTTTAATCTTATTTTATGGTTTCATATTTATTTGAGCTAGGATGCAGGAATGGTACTGTTTTATGTATTTGGTGAATGAAATGTTGACATAAGCATTGTTATAGCTGGTGTGTACGTTGCTGCAACACTGGACACTGGGTATTGGCACAACTGGCTCAATCTCGTTGAATATTTTGAAAATTTAAATTTTGGAAGAATGCATCTTCTAGTACTAATAATAGGTGACTTTGATAGAAGATGTCACTACAAAGATACCTTAACCTTTTTGTACTAGGACATCTTTTATATTACCCATTGGTTAATAACCTATGGTTATTAACCTATAGTACTTTTGATTCCCCTCTAACTAGTATGTATATGGTGGTAATCTTTTAATTAGTGTGTGCATTAGAAACAATCACTTTGTCATCAGGAACAAAACTTCATCTAAGTTTTAGGTCCTTGTTACTTTTTAATATCATTTGCAAGTACTTTTAAGTATTCTTCGTCAATTTCAGTTATTACAGCAACTTTTTCAGCTTTCTTTTTACTTTTTGTGCAAAATTTACTTTTACGCCATTTACGTTCAGTTATTTCCATTTATGTCACTTATTTTTAATCACTTACATTCAGTCATGCTAGGCTAAATACCTTAATATGGGTGTAAGTGAAGGTTGTGAGATTACACCAAATGTTAGTCGATAATTGTTTTGCTAATAGCAATTTATTTCGCTATTCACAAGTGGTATCAATATTTCATATGCTAATCTTTGACAAATTGACGCATTTTATTTTATTCAAATGAGTTAGACTTAAAATTAAGGCAACTCAAATATTTTTATTAAGTGTGTTATAGAGGCTAAAAAGAGTCGCAGTAATCTTATGGGTTGCAAAACTATATGGAAAGAAATGCAAGATTTGTACTAGTTTGGGATTGATGCATCACCAAGTGCACTTCCAACATATGGTCTAATTGCACTTACTTGGAAGGCCGTTCAATCCAGTAGTGTTGTAAAGAGCTATTTTTGTAGCAAAATTTATTACACTTCGCTGCTGAAATCCAACCTGATCTTGCATCCATACTATCTTTTAATTATTGTTACATTTCAATATTTGGTTACCAACTCTCTCAAAGTTATTTTCTCTCTGAAGTTTTATTACTTCCAAAAATTCTGAAATCTCACT